TCAATACCGCTCGCGGTTTTAATGTTTTAATTGTATATTGATTTAGTAATTGCAGCACAATGCCAAGAAAGGAGGGTTAATCGTATTGAAAAATCTTAAAAGCTGTTCACATTTTATTTTTAAGTGGTTTGTACAAAATCAGCAGGTATTAAAATAGCTATTATTTTGTAGGCTACCATAAGTCATATCCACGTGACAAGACTTCCAGTCATGTTGCCCTAAAAGCCCATTATTTAAACTAACGTGGCATATTTGTTAAAGCTATTATTATTATTATTATTATTATCGTCATGATGGTTATTATTATTATATTGCAGCCAGTCACAGCAGGGAAGCTCTATACCATCAACATCTACCAGGACAGGAGATGAGGAAGAGTTCAGGGACGACACAGAGACAGAAAAAGACCAGGATGAGGGAGAACAGATGGGTGAGGGAAAACAGGGAGATGAGCCAGATGAAAGAAGAAGATGAGCAAGCGTACTACTTTAAAGTAATACGCTTTAATCTGTTCTGTTGGTGATGTGACTTTTTTCCATTGAAAACTCATGTTTAGAGAATGTTACAAATAAAAGTCAAATTTCATTCAACATGCGTGTATATATATTTTTTTATAATTAAGTGTTCCATGTGCGCTAAAAAGTGACCTCCCCCACCTCCTGAGCACCTGCCCCCCAAAATGTCTGTGCACGCCTCTGATTGGTGGTATTATAGATTTAGACCAATTTATAGAGTATTCTGCGACTTTTGAGAAAGATTCTATTAATCTAATCACTTGAGAGAGGCAAGAATTTGAGTGCTGGAGATAAAGTAATACATTATCTGCATAAAGACTAATTTTATGCTCTATTTTCATGCCTTTTATACCTTTAACCACATTAGTTTGTCTCATTGTAGCAGCTAGAGGCTCAATGAAAATGGCAAAAAGTGAGGGGGAGAGCGGGCATCCCTGTTTGGTGCCCCTCTGGACACAAAAGCTGGAAGATGTTTGATTATTTGTCCTGACACAGGCTGTTGGGAAGCTTTATAAAAATTTTAACCAATTTATAAAGCAATGGCCAAATTTATTTAGAGTAGCAAATAAAAAAAATTCCAGTTTACTCTATCAAATGCTTTTTCTGCATTTAAAGACAATATGTAGGATTTAATATTTTTTTACTGTAGGAATAATCTATTAAATTAAGCAATCTGCGTGTGTTAGCAGCTGACTGCCTTCCTTTAATGAAACCAATTTGATCTGGGTGGATTATAAGAGGAGTGACTTTATCTAATTGTTTTGCTAAAGCTTTACAGATTATTTTAATATCCACATTAATTAAGGATATGGGACGATAGCTGGTCGAAAACATAGGCTCTTTGCCTGGCTTAAGCAGGAGACTAATGGTGGCAGAGTTCATATTACCGGTAACTGGAAATTTGCCATTATTTTTGAGTTTCCTGCAGCATTCTGCGGAAAGTTAGGGCCAAAATGTTCCAGAACTCTTTATAGAACTCGGTAGGGAACCCGTCTGGACCTGGCGCTTTATTATTTGGCATGCTTTTTAATGCTTCCTGTACTTCAAATGTTGACAGCGGTGAGTCCAGGGTCGCTCTTTGATTCTCTGATCATTTAGGAAGAGTTATTTTATCCAGAAATTCGTTGATGTCATTATTTGATGGATTTATCTGTGATGTGTATAAAGATTTATAGAAATCTCAGAAGGCATTATTAATACCTTTCAGATCCTGTAATGTATTACCATTTTCAGTCTGTAACTGCAAATGTAGTCATTTTTTCTTTATTTTTAGGTGATTAGCTAAGAAACTTCCTTTTTCTATTCCAAGTCTTGGTATTATAAATGTATTTTGTTTTTTCAATATATTTGTTTAATTCTAGTTTTATTAATCCCTATCTTGGGAAGCTTCTAGTAACTTTCTTTTTTTTTTCCTGGACCTTTTTTTGTACTAACTTTTTTTTATGAGATGATCTTCTGTTTTGAAACTGTCTTCTACTGGTATAAAACAACACACCTCCCAAAAACAGTCTTTATCTAAGATGTTGGCTGTTCAGAAATTTTGTTTATTAGGCATTATATTACTTAATTACTGCTGAACGTAATATATTACAGTAAAGCGTTTCTTATGTAACACGTTTCACCCAACACTGGTGAACAATGATACTGGTCCAATGGCTGCAAATACTAACAGAATTCAAAAAAGTTAACATCATAATTTTGAAGGGGCATTTGATGAATTTGATCAGAACATTATTTTTAGCACATAATTTAGATTTTTTTTTCATCAAGCATTTCACATCTCAACTTATTTTCACAATGTCAATGGAAAAAAGGGTGTATTTTATGGCTGACTTTAGAGTGCATAGAACTAATGAAAAATAGAGACCATTATGTCAACTCATTATGTCATTATGTGACCATTATGTTTACTCTTAAATCTGGTTTGGCTGTAAAAAGAGAAAAATGTACATCTCTGAGAAACAAAGTTACCTGGTTTGATGTTCTCTAAACTCTGGCGTCAATGGGTTGCTCATTGGCAAGGTTCACACTGTTAGTGCTGTAGCACAGTTAGAAATTCAATAAAGGTTAGGCTTTCCACATTGCAAAGACTCTGCAAGGCTGTCTTAGGCCCCGTCCACACGAAGCCGAACCCTGGCCTAAACGCACAAATTTTTCACCAAACCAGCCTCTCATCCACACGAAGCCGGCGTTTCGGGGGTCTGTAAACAACCTTTTTTTTATTCAGCCTTCAGAGTGGGAAAATTTTGAAACGCCGTTTTCGCGTTTCCATCTTTACGCTCTAACCGCA